TGATACACCCCGGCTTACCATCTAGCGGTAGCTTTCGGAAAGGTGAAAAAACATATATTTAATACTTGCGCCGGGTATTTAATCTTCGGTTCCACCCGGACTTAGACTTTCTTACTTGTTATATTTGAATTTTAATTTTTTTTTTAAGAAATTCCCGTAAGCGGACATTTCTCATAGGCGGACAAAAAGTAGGTGACCATCGGTGTCCGCTTATGGGAGCTTTCACTGTATAAGGGCAAAGGCGAAGGGTAATATCGGGACTTATCGATAAAATAATCGATATTTTTATCGGATTTGTTATCGATATTTTTATCGATTTTGTTATCGATATCTTTATCGATTTGTTATCGAATTTGTACTCGATAATTTTAACTATTTTGTTAGACATTTTTTATCGATTTTGTTATGGATTTTATTATCTATATTAATCTATATTTATCGATTTTGTTATCGATTTTTATCGATTTTGATATCGATTTTGTTATGGACATTTTTATCGGTTTTGTTAACGATATTTTTATCGATTTTGTTATAGATATTTATATCGAGTTTTTAATAGATTTAGCTACCAATATTATCATCGAAATTTTTATCGATTTTTTCATTGATTTTGTTATCGATATTTTTATCGGTTTTGTTATCGATATTTCATTGGATGTTACTATCGTTTTTGTTATCGATAGAGTATAAAGACAAAAATGAAGATAAAGGAAAACAGAATAACATAAATGTAATTAGAACGCACAGGGGTAGAGGTAGGGATCTAGATAGAAAAAAAAGACAAAAATATAACCTTAAGCAAAAGCAGATGTATGTATGTATGTATGTATAGGTTATGTGACAAAATAGATATGTATGTAACGTAAGTTTCACTTCTCCAGTGTGGCTCCGGCGTGCTTTCTTTTTTTAATTACTAACGAGTTTTTATTGGTCCCCCCATTGCATTTTTCGTGGTTTTTGGTGTTTTTTGGCGGATCTAAAAATTATAGATACTATGAAAAAATGGTTACACAGTTGGATATTATTACTGGGAGTCTCCTGAAGAGAAATAGAGTTTTCGTACCACAGAGTTACGAAACTACTACGAAAAGTTGTTTTTGTACCATATAAAATACATGGAAAATTTTGAGCGCTTTGAGCGACCTCTAAGCATTAATTGATATAGAACAAGTAAGAAAGTCTAAGTTCGGGCGGAGCCGAACATTAAATACCCGGCGCAAGTATTAAATATATGATTTTCACCTTTCCGAAAGCTACCGCTACATGGTAAGCCGGTGTGTATCAATTCTAAGTAAATTAGAGTCCTTAAATTTCGAAATATTGAAGTTTCAAGCATTTCTGAAATTTGCCGTTATATGATAAGTGGTCGTAATTTTAATCTGATTCCAATAATTTTCAACGGTTTGCTTCTATGCGGCAAGCACAATAATCATACCGAGTTTGGTACAAATTGGTAAAACGGCTACCGATATACATATATGTGATCATAAGTGGGCGGTGTCACGCCCATTTTCCAAAATTTTATCATAAACGTATTTCTTGGTAGAGAATTGTTGCAAGCATTAATTTTGAATAAATTAGCTTTAATATTTATTGATTTATCGAAGATTTCGTATTTCTCCAAATTACCGTTATATGGGTGGTAGGCGTGCTTATTGTCCGATTTTAAAAATTTGGTATGCTGTAGCAAGACTAACAACTATGCCAAGTTTGGAAGAAATTGGTGCAGCGGTTACCAAGATATACACATGTATCCATAAGTCGGCGTGGCTACGCCCATTTTCCAAAAATTTATAATATTCTTATTTTTCGTCTAAAAGTTATTGTAAATACCAATTTTGAGTGAATAATCTTCAGTAGTTACTAAAATATCGCAGTTTTCGTATTTCTGAAAATTACCGTTATATGGGAGGTAGGCGTGGTTATTGTCCGATTTTGCCCATTTTCAATACCATCCGTCCTACGGCCGAAATAAGTATACGTACCAAGTTTCGTTAAGATATCTTAATGTTTACTCGAGTTATCGTGTGTACAGACGGACGGACAGACGGACGGACGGACGGACGGACAGACAGTCACCGCTTAATCGATTTCTCTTTTCATTCTGATCATTTATGTATACATTTGTCTATATCTATCTCGATTCGTTTTGCCTGTTACAAGCAACCGTTATGTGAACAAAGTTATAATACCCTTGTGCACAAGTGCGCTCGGGTATAAAAATCCTAGGGCATGAGAGCATAAAAATTCCGACCTTATTTTCCCCCCTCCCCCTCACATGCATTTTTGGACCACCCTAATGTACATGCATACATATCTATTGCTACTTAATTCTCCGCATGCTTTTACAGGAAGTGTAGTAAAGTGAGCGCCGTTTTTCAAAAATTGAATTTTAATGGATTATTTTATTTATAGAAATTCCTTAATTAAATAGATTTACTTATATCAACTGATCTCCTTTCCATTAGCTTCGTGCTGTAATACTTGTATAGACCGCTGCAACAAAATACAAAAAAAGAACGCATTAACATATACATACATACGCGTGCATAAATACATACACAAACCAATGAATATCAAAATTATAGGAAAGTTCTAAAAGCACTTACTGAGTTGTGTGCCAGCTATCACCGGACAGACATGTTGTTTGCTTCGATAATCGTATTCATAGTACTCGTCCAGTTGCGTCCAATACAGCAGCGCATTCGCTGGCAGCGATATACCCATTTCCAATTGCGGAAAGACAATAGCGCCACCCAGCTTGGGTGTTTGCAGCTACAAATAGCGAATGGAGAATAAAATTGATTTAGCCTCGCTTAACACTCCCAACCGGTGCACTTACATTGAACAGCACATTCGCCATAGTTTGCGTTGATGCAGGCACCAATGGTTCTGCATGCACCACATCTTCAAATGTGAAATGCTCCACTAACCACTCTGCA